TTGTCACTATATGCCAGGGATGTAGTATAGTAGTAGAACGCTTGACCAGCAAGTACAAAGCCTTGGACTCAACCTTTAGCATGGCTACATCAATCAGTCAATAAAATTGTCTTTGAACTATTTTATTTCTTGGCTCCAGGTTTTTGTACAAATTTCTCTGGGGGTATTTTCCCTTTTTTCTTTTCTTTTCTTTTCTTTTCTTTTCTTTTCTTTTCTTTTCTTTTCTTTTCTTTTCTTTTCTTTTCTTTTCTTTCCTTCTTTCCTTCCTTCCTTCCTTCCTTCCTTCTTTCCTTCCTTCCTTCCTCTCTTCTTTCCTCCCTCCCTCCCTCCCTCCCTCCCTCCCTTCCTTTCTTACTATTATTATATTTACAACTTTGGGACAATACCATCATACAACTTGGGAAGGAAATGTCCCCTGTAAAGGCTACTATGTTGGTTTGGTTCCCATCTGGTGGTGCTATTGAGAGGTGATTGGCTTATGAAGATGCAAACTTAACTGATATATTAGCATGTTGCTGAATCCATAGCTCAATAGACTTTGAGAAGATGAGCCTAGTTGGAGAAAGCAGGTCATTGTAACTTTGGGGATTATATCTCATCCTTGGTCTCCCATTCATATTCATCATTACAGTCCTCTCTCTCTCTCTCTCTCTCTCTCTCTCTCTCTCTCTCTCACACACACACACACACACACACACACACACACACACACACACACATTCTCTCTCTCCCCTCAACTTCCTAGCTGTCATCAGTGAGCAGCTTTAGTCCATCACTTTACTCCATCATGCCCTTTTTTTATGGTATGCTCACTCACCACAGACCCAGAAACACAGAACCAGCAACCACACAGTGAACTCTGAAACTGTGAGCCCAGTTTACCCTGCCCTCTTGTGAGTGGTTTGTCATAGTGACAAAAGCTAAAGCCACCATCTAATTCTTCACTGTCTCAGTTGTTTTGCTTTCTGTCACTTTCCTCAGCGATCCTCACTGCCTATTATTGTGTTTGCAGAATGCAGGAGACACTGAGAAAATTCACAACTATAATCTGATGTGTGCTTGGAAGAGGTCCTTCGGACAGCACATCACCACACTGCTGCGTCCATCTCCTTCAGGTGGGAAATGCTGTTCATGATCAATGGAAACTCTCAGGTAGGCATATCCAATGAAGATGCCATCCTGGTTGTGTGGGTACCAAAGTGGAGAATCACTTAGTGGAACACAAGGATATGTAGTCCTCCTGCTGGGGATGTCTTTCTGTATGCTGTGAATGTGTGTTGCTCTGATTTGGTTGATAAATAAAATGCTGGTTGTCCAGTAGCCAGGCAGAAAGTATAGTACAGGTGGGATAAGCAGAGAGGAAGAGGAAGGCTGAGTGAGGAGTCGCCAGCCAAACAAAGAGGAAGCAAGATGTGAAGGCAGAACCGAGAAAAGGTACCAAGCCATGTGGCTAAACATAAATAAGAATTATGGGTTAATTTAATGGTAAGAGCTAGTCAATAGTTAGCCTGAGCTAATGGCTGAGCAGTTTTAATTAATATAAGTCTCTGTGTGTTTACTTGGTTCCAAGTGGCTGCAGGACCGCAGGAGCCGGGCAGGACTAGGAAAACTTAAGCTATATCCTCCCATTCCTCAAAGTGTGTGTGTGGCTTTCAATATGAAGATAGTTTGCTGCTTTGGGGATGTTAGAGCCAAGCATGAACCTTCTTTCACAGCAGAGTATTTTCATTCAACCTCAGCTCCGTCTCCATAAACACCTTGAATCTTGTCTCTTGGAGACTGTTGTGGCCAATGCTCATGAGCTGAACCAAGCTCTTTCTCTGAAGCTCAGATGTCATCTGCTCCATCACCACTCAGTGTCATGAAGTCTTTTCCAGAAGGGAACTCTTTCTGGAGCTCTGAGTTAGGCTTGTCTCCCGTGATCTGGATCCTCACCTTGTCCATCTCTTCATGACTGTTTCAGCCTGTATTCTCCCTCATGTATATTTTCAAATCCCTACATTCTTATGACAGTAAAGGGGCAAACAGCAGAACTTTAGGCAGAATACCCTGTGGTGGGAGTGTGTTCCCCAAAATATTGTGTACCCTAATAAACTTATCTGGGGTCAGAGAAAGAAAAGCCACTAGATACTTAGGCACTTACACCTTTAATCCTAGCATTCCAGAGGCAGGAATCCCTCTGGATCTCTGTGAGTTCAAGGCCACATTGCAAACAGCCAGATGTGGTTACTCATGCCTTTAATCCCAGAAAGTGATCCTTTAATCCCAGGGAGTGAGGCAGAAAGCAGAAAGGTATATAAGGCGCGAGGACCAGAAACTAGAAGCATTTGGCTGGTTAAGCTTTCAGGCTTTGGAGCAGCAGTTCAGCTGAGATTCATTCTGGATGAGAACTCAGAGGTTTTCAGTCTGAGGAAACAGGATCAGCTGAGGAACTGGCAAGGTGAGGTGGCAGTGGCTTGTTCTGCTTCTCTGATCTTCCAGCATTCACCCCAATAACTGGCCTCAGGTTTGTTTTTTATAAATAAGACCATTTAAGATTCATGCTACAATACCCCGTCTCTTTCCATTTTACAGCCAGTTTTCTTAAAAACAACAACAAACAAATAAACAAAACCAAAAAAAACCCATCTCATCTCCATCTGATGCCTCCAGCCACTATAAACAGCATCCTGCATCCATCAATGTCCTGAAGTAGCTCTGAGACAAAGACCTTCTCGTTGCCAATTCCAACATCTTTTTTGTGGTCAAATTCTTTGGAGTCTTCTGTGGATTGATGTTAGGGTTTCTGTGGTGGAAGAGTGCCTTGGCAGATCAGGGTCAAGGAAGGCCACCGGGATCATACCACCCAACAGATCTCACTCAAGAGATTTATTGGGGGTGGGGGAGGTGAGGAGAGTGAAAGGCCACCTCTGATGGGGACAAGAGAGATGAAGAGAGTGAGAGAGAAAGGGAGACAGAGACAGGCAGAGAGAGACAGAGAGAGGAGGCTGGGATGTCGGGGGTGGATGCTGGAGGCTGGTGATAACCTGGCTGCCGGCCCTGAGTCTCTGAAGGCGGGCTGGGGGCAGATCTGGTTCCTAACAACTAACACCTCTGGTTACTCTTCTGTAACTTGACGTCATGTTCCCAGGACCCCTCCCTCTACATGTCTGACTGGAATCTTAGCCTTCTGAGGGCTGTTCTTTCCTTCCTGCCTCTCAGATGGAGGTAAACTTAATGAGGAAAGATGGGGCTGAGTTGGAGAACAAGAAACTGTCTCATGACATCTATGTTTTGGGGGAAGACCTTGCAACTCTTTATTTGGTTTGGACTCCCTCTCTATTCATGTGGATTCTGCATCCAGAGCAGTCCAAGTGCCTGATGTGTGGTACCCACGACAGAGCACTCTTTTTATATTCAAACGTTTGAGAAATACAATTTTGTTTCTGACTGCTGTTTTCAACAGTAAGGCGGCACTTGTGGACTGCGTGAGAACTGAGTTTCTCCTCAGATCACACATGGTTGTACTGCATGTTTAACACCCCTTTTCTGTCAGCTGATGGTTTCCATAGATACTCTTGGTTGACTGTTGATCACATTTGGCTAAAATTCTGGAAGGTTTGTGGGCATAGGAACTTCAGTGACTAGACAGATTTTTTTTTTTTTTAATAAAATATGGGAGCTGGGGAGATGGCTCAGTATATAAAGTATTTGTTGTGTAAGCATGAAGACAAAAGTTCAGATCTCTAGAACCCACATAAATATTGGGCAGGCACGGAGGCCTGCCTGTGACTCCAGCACTCAGAAGGCAGAGGCAGAACAAGCTGGCTAGACAGATAGCATCCTTGAGCTCTGGGTTCTGTTGAGAGTTTCTGCTTCAATGAATAAGATGGAAAATGATTAGGGAAAACTCCCGTTGTCAGCCTCCCGCACGCTCGAGCACACACACACACACACACACACACACACACACACACACACACACACAGAGACACACAAGAAATATGCGAGTGAGGAAAGTAAATTTGTTTCCTTCTTAAACGTTTTTAGAAGGTCTCTTTCTGTACCAAGCTCCATGGCAGGGAAACTTACTCTATCACTGGCTCCTTCAGAATTATTGAGATGTTAATTAGCTTCCACAGCTGGGTGATGAAACTGTGAAATATCTGGACTATCCAGAATCTATAATCCCAGCTGAATTTTCGCCCTTAACAGGGAATAATAGCTATACTCAGCATTAGTATGCTAGTAAATATTTAACAGATTTTTTTGTATGTTTAAAAAAATTGCAGATCTTTGTTGAACCAGTCTCTTTGGTTGCAACATCTTCCTTCACATAATACACGTGTTTTTCCATATTTCTAATTGGTCTTCCATGATCATGTCAACAGGGAACTTCACACTCATTCCCAACAGCCCAACTGCTGATGTGGTCTGGACTTCCAAAGCTAAATTAGGAAAGCAGGAAACTCAAGAAGACAAGAAATAAGAGCCCAAAGTGCTGGGCAAGATGCTGCCACCCTCCTGTCCCCTCCAACCCATCCCACCCTCGCCCATCCCCCTTCCCCACCCCACAACTGCACACAGTAAACAGGGAAAGAACACAGACAGCAACTTGGGGATCATCAGAACAACACCCCTCTGACTCTTTTCTTTGCCTTTGGCTTTGCAAAGATAAGTGTTAGGTTTTAAACCTGGGACAAATGGCTGAGGTGCCTATCTAACATATCAAAGAGAACCTGGCACCAAGTTCTCCCAACATCCCTCAGTCCCTACCTGATACAGGGTTCTCCAGGCTGGCATACCTTGACCCCTACCCTGAACTTCTTCAGCCCAGGGGCTGGGCTGCCCTCCCCCCAGATGCCCTTCCCTATATAAGCCAGACTTTTGGTTACCTGGGCCATTTGGGCCTCCTGGCTGCTACACCTGGTTCTCTTCTCGCCCTCCCCATCCCACTCCCCTCTCTCCTCACATGGCTCAGGGTCATGTCCATTCTGGACTCCCAGATGTCCCTGCCTCTGATCATGCTCTCCCACATATCTATAGTAAACTTTGTCCTCCACCACACCCAGGAGAAGCCATGGCCTTTCCTCTTTTTTTTTTTTTTTTCTTCATTCAATTAAGAATCTGTTTGGATCAAAGTTCAGGGGCCAAGCTAAAGGATTTTGTGAAATGGAAGTATAATAAAACCCTGTAGCTGGGGGTTGGGGATTTAGCTCAGTGGTAGAGCGCTTGCCTAGCAAGCGCAAGGCCCTGGGTTTGGTCCTCAGCTCTGAAAAACAACAGCAACAACAACAACAAAAAACCCTCTTGCTGTCTAAAAGACTTCCGGCAGCCCTTGGCCAAAATGATAGAACTTCCCACAACCGCAGAAAAACCACTCTAAGAACAGGGACACTGACGCCACCCTCCTTTACTGCTTCTCTGGGCCACCGCTCAGGTATCAAAGACAACTTGGCATGGATTCCTGTGTCATTTTTTGCTGGCTTTCCAGATCAGGGGAAGGAGACCCACCTGAACCTTCAACTTTGAATTTGTGCAGCCCATGGCAGCAACTGCAAGACACACATCATCACTAAATACTCGCTGGGTGACTACTGTGGCATTTGTTTCTATTTGGTTGAACGGATTCAGATTTTAAAAACCAACACTATTAAACGCTACTAATTTCAAATTTATTATTTTGGAAGGACTAAATTTTACTTTAAATTCTGCTGAGTTATTTAAACTCAGTTTAAACTCATTGAATTGATATGTGCTAAATAAAGTAGATTTTTAAAGACTATTTCAGAAAGGAGTATAAAATGCCCATGCTAAAACTTATAATCTGGGATAATAGATATAAATGAAATTCATTATTAAAATGATTGTCATTAGTTTCTTTATACTTATTTAATGTGGGTCCTGGAAGTTTTTAAATTAGCTGGAGCATGATGCTTGAAATCCCAGCACTTGGGAAGTCAAGATGGGAGGATGAGGACTGTAGTGTCAGACTGGGTGACATGACATCTCATTAAGGAGGAAGAGGAGGAGGAGGAGGAGGAGGAGGAGGAGGAGGAGGAGGAGGAGGAGGAGGAAGAAGAAGAAGAAGAAGAAGAAGAAGAAGAAGAAGAAGAAGAAGAAGAAGAAGAAGAAGAAGAAGAAGAAGAAGAAGAAAAGGAAGATCAAGCCTCTCACAGTCTTCAGGATGAAACAGTGAACACAAGAGAGCCATTCTGTAGATACACGGGTCACCTTTGATAGCATGCGTTCAGTGCCGAGATACTCCTCTCTCTAGGCTGATGAATCAAAAGTTAAAAAGTGATACTTCCTTTGGTGCCACCACCAGCTCTAGATGCGGCATCACTGAGAATAACAGGTAAAGCTGTCATCAGGGTGGTAGGTTTGATGGCTAGGTTGGCCGAGCAGGAGAGAAGGCACAGGCAAGTAGGGGCCAGCTCCAGGGCCCAGCGAGTACTCAAGAGAGCTAGAGAGTGTCAGTTCAAGTGCAGGGCTTTCAGAGTAGGTCTCCATGGGTTCTACCATGAGACACTGATGAGATTTGGTCAATACTAGCTATTTCCAAACTAGAGGAAGTAAAATTGAGTGCTAAATGAATTAAAACTAAGTAAGGTTTTAAACGCTTTACGAGCTGGCATCCAGATAAATGGCTGGCCTCGGTGGTTATACATAGTGGATGAAGCCATAAGCCAAGACAATATATGAGAAAAATCATATTCATCACTTATAAAAACTAAGATGAATGTTGCAAATACATGTATATAATTTTTTCTTTTCTTTTCTTTTTGGTTTTTCAAGATGGTTTCTCTGTGTGAAGTCCTGGCTGTACTAGAACTCGCTCTGTAGACCAGGCTGGCCTTGAACTCACAGAGATCCACCTGCCTCTGCTTCCTGAGTGCTGGGATTAAAGGCCTGTGCCACCACCACCTGGCTAAGTTTGTCTCTCTCTAATTTCTGTATCATTTCATCCATTTTTTCTTATTGCCACAGGTAATTGGATAAAGAGACTGGCTGAGGCTGGATTGAGTAATATGTGGAATTCATGCTTGCTGTTTTATAAGGAGCTAGTTGTATCTGAAATCCTGAAAATGTGTGATGCACATTAAGATTCATAAGCCTGTCAAAGCCCATGCCATCAGGCAATGCAAGACTTCCGTGGCTGTGCGCTTGGTTAATACTCGCTGTTCAGCTAGCCACCCATGGCACTGTGGTTGCCAGTCTTCATTTTTTCCGTCTATATTTTTTCTCGTCCAGCTTTTTTAGAAATGTTATTCCAATTTCTGTCACACTGTCGCCTTTTAGTCTGTCTTGCAAGAATGTAACATCAGCAGCCAAATGAACCTAGGAGAGAAAAAAAAGGAAAAAAACAGGCTTATGTCATTAAAAAAAAAAAAAAGCAACAAAACAATGTTTTTTCACAATCTATTTTTTCCCCATCTTTCTTTTTTTGATAAGAAACATCTGTTTTGAGAATAAAGACCCTTGGACTGTGTTCTCTAGAGATATCTTGGCCACATGTCATCAGTGTGGTGTGGCAGACGGCTGGAGGAAGGATGAGTGGTCCAGGAGTGGCCCAGACTTGTCTACCCATCTGAGGAAGAATCCAAATTCCTGACTCACAGAAAAATCTCACTCTGGGTGCTTGGCCAAGTGGAACTTCAGAGGAGAAATGGTTCCTTATAGGATTCCTCTCAAGCTGACTTGCCATAAAGCATTCTGTCATTAGTGAAACAATATAATCGCTTATTCTAACAACATTTAGCAATTGCCTATGGCTTTGAGAGCTTTGAAAAATACCGACTAAATACATTATAAATATAAAATTAGATATTGAATTACAGACATGAATATTTGATGGCCAGGCTTTCTTTTCAGCTTGAAAGCATTTCCCATTTCCCAGACAATGGAGAAAGCTCAAGGGTTTACTTCTCTATTCATTAAAACGTGTTCGTGTGAGAGCAGCATGGTAGCATTGACCTATTTTCAATAGAGCCTCTGATCAGAGTTATTTTTGGCCATTGGGATAAAGAAGATAAATAAGTGAGGGTAGCTGGTAGAAGAAGAGTAGTATGTGAAAAACCCCTGGGTCCAGCAGGCAATTAATTAATATTTATTGAATCTTACCTGACTCACCCCTCCCAGATGAAGAACTTCTAGGCAATGAGCTTGGATTTTCTAAACCACACGCCTCCAAATGTCAGATTGTCTGGCTCATAGAGAACGCAAAGCCTTTGCCTTGTGATACCCACTGTTTTAGTTAGAGTTTCTATTGCTGTGAAGAGATACCACGACCATGGCAATTCTTATAAAGGAAAACACCTAATTGGGATGGCAGTTCAGAGGCTCAGTCCATTATCATCATGGTGGGACATGGTGGCATGCAGGCAGACATGGTGCTGGGGAAGTAGCTCAGAGTCCTACATCTTGCAGGGAACAGGAAGTAGACCGTGTGTCACACCGAACAAAGCTTGAGCAAAGGAGACCTCAAAGCCCACCCCACAGTGACACACTTCCTCCAACAAAGCCACACCTCCTAATGGTGCCACTCCCTATAGGCTTATGGGGGCCAATGACATTCAAACTACCACATTCTAGTCCCTGGCTCCCATAAGCTTGTAACAATATCATAAAGCAAAATGAACTTAGTCCAACTTCAAAAATCCCCATAGTCTATCACATTCTCAATGGTATTTAAAAGCCCAAAGTTCAAAGTCTCTTCTGAGATTCATGCAGTCTCTTAACTGTAATTCCTTATAATGTCAAAATAAAAATAACAATAATAATAATAATAATAAAAAAACCACATCACATACTTTCAACATATAATGGCCTTTCCAAAACAGGAAAGAGAGCATAGTGAGGAAATATTGGACCAAAACAAGACCAAAAACCATCTGGGCAAAATCCAAACTCTGCATCTCCATGTCTGATGTCAAAACACTCTTCGGATCTCTAACTCCTTTCAGCTCTGTTGACTGTAACACACTTCTTTCTCTTGGGCTGGTTCCACTCCCTGTGAGCAGCTTTCTGCAGCAGGTATTCCCCGGCTCTACCATCTTCAAAATCTTGGGTTCTCCTAGGCAATCTAGGCTTCAACTTCACAGCCTCACACAATGGCCTCTCTAGGCCTTCATTCAGGGACACCCCTGACACATGCCTGGCCTCAGCGGCTTTCTTTAGTCTCGGGGACAAATTCCATAGCTCCTTTCTTCTATCCTTACCTCCAGAACCATGTAGCCAAAGCTGTCAAGTTATGCTGCTTGCCGGAGCTGAAATATGGTCTCCTCATTCAATTACATCTTCACCAGCTTTCTGTCTTTCACTGCCTAAGCTTGGCTGTCCTGAAACTTGCTCTGGAGACTGGCTGACCTCAAACTCAGAGATCTGCCAGCCTCTGCTTCTGGAGTGCTAGGATTAAAGGCACGCACCACAATACCTGGCTCTTAGCTTTTCTTCAATTCCTTTTCACAAGTTGGAAACTTAGCTGGGTGTGGTCTTGCCCTGAGGTCACCACTCCCTTTATTCCATTTCTTGTTCCATTTGTCTCCTTGAACACAGGATTTAGCTCTATCCCATTTCCTGGTGCCTCTTTTCCCAACCCGTACATTCTGTATTTTCCTTGCTCAGCTTGCTCCTGTTTATTCTAGATTTTCATCAGAGTTAACACTAATAACCACAGAACAGAGTCTATACTAGGCTGTTTTGCGACTTCCCCTGCCAATGGAATTAATTCAAAACTCTTCACTTAAGCCTCAGGCAGACTCTTTGGACAAAGGCAAAAAGCAGCCACACATTCTTCACCAAAATATCACAAGAATGATCTCTAGGCCACATATTAATATTCTTCTCCTCTGTAACCTCTTCAGTAAGGCCCTCACAGTTCATCAAATCACACTCAGCACCATGGTCTTCCATGCCCCTACTAGTACGACCCATTAAGCAGCAAAGTATTCCATTGTTTTCTTAACCTAAAGTATCAAAGTCCAAATTCCTCCAAACCAAGACCATGGTCTGGTTTATCACAGCAGTACTCCAGTCCCTAGTATCAACTTCTGTCTTAGTTAGGGTTTCTGTTGCTGTGAAGAGACACCATGACCATGGCAACTCTTATAAAAGAAAACATTTAATTGGGGTGATGGCTTACAGTTCAGAGGTTCAGTCCATTATCATCACGATGGGACATGGTGGCGTGCAGGCAGACGTGGTGCTGGGGAAGTAGCTGAGGGTCCTGCATCTTACAGGCAACAGGAAGTAGACTGTGTGTCACACTGAACAAAGCTTGAACAAAGGAGACCTCAAAGCCTGCCCTCACAGTGACACACTTCCTCCAATAAGGCCACACCTACTCCAATAAAGCCATGCCTCCTAATAGTGCCACTCCCTATAGGCTTATGGGGGCCAATTACATTCAAACTACCACACCGGCCATCCAATGAAAGAGAGTAGACTGTACTTTGAAATACAGGGCCTATAATTAATGTCTGGATTTTCTTCCCTATAGTTTTTATGTCTTAGAAAATATAAAAAAAATCCATTAAAGAAACACACAGACTATGCTGAAGCTCTTTGGATATATGAGACCACATGACTTATGACACTCATGGTCAGCACATATGGTCAGAAATTACCCATGAAAGCTGGAAACTTCTTTATGTTATGTGGTTACCCCATTCAGTGTAACCTCCTACATTTCCACTCTTCCCTTTCCTTGATATAATGCTTACTGACGCAGATCAAATCTAACGCAATCGGTACTACATCATGAAGGATCTGCAAGGAAGATGCATGCAGTCATCTCCATTGTTTTACACTTTGGGGGTATCAGCTACTTTAGCCCTTCCTTAATTTCTACAAGTAAAATTATATGCATGGATCTTTATCGAGGAGGTTAACAACACAGGTTTAGAATGGTTAAGAGCTGGCCCCACCATCCAAATAGAGAAGATTCTAGAAAAACAAGACTGTTAGCTGTTGACTGTTGCCTCTCTATAAGCTGCTGTAGATTCTGTCTGACAGATTCTCTTCTCCCTCGTCTTTTCTTCATCACAGTCTCTACCAAGACCATCTCCAAAGCGTTGGTAAGTGGGGTTAACTGTGTTGAGTTGGTCTTGTTAGTCTTCTTGAATGATTCTGCTTCCTGCTTTCTGTGACCCCATCACTCTCTATCAGTTTCCTGCTTCCGAGTACTCAAGTTGTTATCCTTTGTAGTCTTTAGGTACTCTGTTTAACTTCACATTTTTGTGCTGTTTCCTGGAGTTCTAATCATGCTCCCTTTTCCTCCTGCTGCGCAGACTCTCCTCAGGTATTTCTGTCAGTTCTGACAGCTCTTCAGTCACATTCTGGCAGGCACATACAAACAACTTGGGCAAGGCATGGTGGCAAACACCTGTAATCCCAGAACTCTGAGGCTGAGGCAACCTCTGCTACATAATGAGACCTTGTCTATCAATAAATGAATGAAAAACAAACAACTTCTTTCTGAAATCCTCACTGTGTTATTTGTTAAACATCTCAACATTAGCAGGTTCGAAACTGAGCGCCCCCCCCTCCCCCCCACCCCCCCCACCCCGGTCCATTGCAACCCTCTTAGTTTATTCTATTGGTTATGTTATTGTTACTCTGTTGGCTATAGTCTTCACGTCAGTCCCTCTGAACTGATTTGCCTTTCTGGTTCTTTCATTTTGAAGGGCCTTTGAACATTCTGATCCTTCTACCTAGAATGTTATTTTTTTTCCTGCCCTCTTTACAAAGGCCTTCTTCACCTAACTCCCATTGTTTCTTCAAAAAGCCAGTTCAGAGTTTCTGTCAAGACTGTATGGATTATTTCTTACTCCGGGCCCCCTCTACCCCTTTATCTGCCCCTTTGCACATGACTTCTTGAACTAGACAGGAGATTCTCTGTGGGCAGCAACTGTATCTTGTCCATCTTTGTAGACTCAGTCACTGACACCTTACAGATGTTAATAACTGTGTCAGTTAAGCCAACGAATAGCTTAGGTGTGGAAGTCAACCTCAAAAATGACCTGCCTTGACCTGTACTTCCTGTAACACATGCCCTCGGCTATTCCCCTCCCTCATAGCACCAGGATTGGCAGCTCAGACTGCCACGCTGTGATTAGATCTACTAAGAGGTCTACATGGCAAGGAGCTTTATGAAGCTTCCACACAGTGGCCTGCAAGGCCCTGAGACTGTGTGAACTTGTGAGTGGTTTGTCTAGGATCAGCAAGTGTGCAGAGGCTACAGCTGAGGCTGCATGTAAATTAAGCTGTGGAAGATCATTATCAGACACAGGTACCTGAAGTACTCCCGGAGTAAATTTTTTTTGAAAAGCAATCTAGTCTCTGTGTGTGCACCCACATGCCCATGTCCCATAGAGTATGAACGAAAGTTACAACTTGCAGGAGTCAGCTCTATCCTTACATGATGTGGGTTCGCAGGACTGAAATCAGGCTGTCAGGCTTAATGGCACATGCCAAGCCACCTCCCAGATTTGTTTTCTTTCTCTTGGGCACAAATCCTCAGTCTTCCATTTTATTTTTAAAATTTAATATGGGACCGTACTGAATTGCCCAGGATGATGCTGAATTCACTTTATACAGCACAAACTTGGCCTGGAACTTACGATCCTGATCCTCCTACCTTACCCACCAAGGAGCCGAGATGACAGGCGTGCAATAACAGGCCTCGCTTGGTCCCATACTTCCCATCTTTGGATTGCTTTGTGCATTGCTTTGAGGCTGTTACCCTTTGCGGACAGCACCGGATGGCTAACATGCATGACAAGGTGAAACACGTGCTTTACCATCTCCAGGGCTCCTCTGATGACCCCACAGAGTAAGTTGCAGTAGCAAAGCGCAGACCGTCCAGCAGGGAGCTCCTCTACGAACTCTGCCAGAGGATTCTTGTCCAGAATCAGGGAGAACTCATTTCTGCTTGAATTGTGACAGTCCACACTCGGCGTGATTCCCAAGTACATCTTGAAGGCAACCTGATAAAGAGCGAGAAAATGACCGCATTTAGTCTCAAATGGAAGTCTATTCAGACGACCCAGTCCCAGGCATCTCAGCACATGGTCAAGCTTGGCAAGCCGAGTCTGCAGCCAGGATGTTTGTGCTCAGACTTTTCTTTGACTTATGCCATGGGAGACTCTTAAATTATTTTTTAAATTCTTGTAGAATATGGCAAAGTGCTAGGCTTTGTGGAACAATATGGTTTGTAAAACATATTGTTTCCAAAAATCCTTGAAGAAAACACATAGGTTTTAGGATGGCGAGAAACAAAGAGATTACTAATCATCCACACAGCCTCATGGTATATACCACACTGATCATGGCAGACTGTAAGATTCAGAGTTTCAAGGGGTCCGGGGCATCTGCTCCACAATAGGAAGGCACTGATTTGGGGAGATGAGACACAAGAATGTATTTTTGGACACACGGCATTATCATACTGTAGATGTCAAGTCTTCGAGCAGGAGCAAGGGGTAGCAGTAGGGACTATATAAATGTGTGTTAACGCAATTGTCAAAAGTATCTGCTGTGGTGTTGGACCCAAAGAACCCCGCCACAGGGAAATGGGAGAAACCTTAGCCTGTCTCCCTCAGTCTCGCCTCTTCTTTCGTCCTGTCTTGGTTTTCAAGCAGTTCTTAAGCATCTTAGGAATCACTTCTTTTTGAAACATTAGTTTACATTTAGTTGTTTGTTTGTTTGTGTACGTGTGGGTGTGTGGCACAGAGTCAGGGGACGATGAGGAGCTGGCTCCCCTGTCCCTCCATACGGGATCTAAGGACAGAACTCAGAGTCTCGGGCTTCCCGCAAAGCACCTTTACCCCATCAGCCATCTCACGCTTTCCTTCGAAGCACAAGTTTCACAAATGTGTAATCTGCTGTTTAGAGAAGTAGACATGACAGCGGAGACTGTGGCCTTTTAGTTCCCTGGCTCCTAATCCAAGGCAATTTCTTTTCCCCAAACACCCAGACCCGGCTTTCAAAGCTTATTAATGGAAACTTATCAGCTTGGTGTGTTGCCATCCTTCAAAGGCCTTAATTAACTTAATTTTAAAATTAAGCGCAGCGTTAGAGAAATGGAAGCAATTTTCTTAAATTATTTATAATTTGAAGTACAAAAATGTCCATTCATTTGTTCATTGGTTCATTTGGTAGGCTCCCGTGGAGGATTGCCCTGAAGCGCCTACCACACTGCAAATTCGGTAGCCACTTGCAAATCCAGCTGCTGAGTTTCGAATCCACATTTGACACCATGTGTAGACCTAGACTACAGGAGCGTTGAGTGAGCTAGCATTTGCCAAGTGGACAATGTGGGGAGAAGAAGGGGCAGAGACACTTTAGACCTGTCTCGGCATGAAACACCATGCTGAGGACGAGGAAAGGTCCCAATCTACCCATTGGTGGGCAGTCGGGAGGCCTGAAGACGTCCTAATGCAGACTCCACATCTGCCCTAGAAGGATTTTCTTTGTGTCAAAACGATCGTGATATGAATCACGTGAGGACTCCTCTTTTTCTCTGAAAGCTCAGTTACTAGGCTTCCCTCATAAATTCCAATAATCCCAATCCTAAACCCTGTTTCAAGTCTTTAATGTGAGCCCTTTTAGGAAGGCGGAGTCCCTGTCTACCAAATCTTAGGCTTAGAACAAGAGAAGAAACTTACCATGAAATGCTGCGTTTGAAGACTGGATTTGGCTACCAGTCAATGGCTGAAACCCATTTCTGCTAGTGCCGAGCTTCCCCCTGGAAACTTTCTCTACTCTAATTTGTGTGAGAATTTTCTATTTGCAGTAAAAAAAAAAAAGCACGTTGAAAGATGCGCTTTGCATTTTGTCTTCAGTGTTTTGACTGCCCTCGAGTGTCAGCATTCACCAGTAGGAGGCATTATCTGAACGCTGTTGGGAAATAAGCATTCCTGGGGAATGACATTGTTTCCTTATCTGGCTGGATGCAGACAGAGGAGGACTGTTGTTTGAAAAGAGCTCCACCCTCAGCCCCAGCCCCAGTGGCTGTCTTAAAACCCAGGCAAACGTTTTTCCCCCTCTTCGTGGGTCTCCAACATGGATGCTTTTCAGAGCATTTTGAAGTTCTTTCTTAACCAAAAAACCGCTATTGGCTACAGCTTCATGGCTCTGCTGACCGTGGGAAGTGAGCGTCTCTTCTCACTCGTGGCGTTTAAGTGCCCCTGCAGCTCTGAGAACACAACCTATGGGCTGGTTTTCCTCTTTGCCCCTGCCTGGGTGTTACTGATCCTTGGATTCTTCCTGAATAACAAGGCGTGGAGACTCTTCACTGGCTGCTGTATAAACCCCAAGAAAATCTTCCCTCGGAGACACCGCTGCCGCTTCTTCTACGTCCTGGGACACATCACACTGAGTTCATTGGTGGCGCCAGTGATGTGGCTCTCCGTGGCTCTGCTGAATGGGACGTTTTATGAGTGTGCCATGAGCGGCACCAGAAGCGAAAAGCTCCTGGAACTGATTTGCAAGGGCAAGCCCAGAGAGTGCCAGGAAGACCTGTACAAAGTCTCCTGTGGTAAAAGTAGCATGACACCCGTGGAAAACGAAGAGGTGAAGCTGTCTCTGCAAGCCCAGTCTCAGGTAAGGACCAACGGGACTTTTTGCTCCCAGAGTGAGCTTGGAAATTTCTCTCTGTCTTCCTTTCCGCCAGGCCAGAGTCTTGAGTCTTGCCAGAATATGTTGGCACTAAGTGGAAACTGGAACACGACGTAGCATTAAGACAATGCTCAGGAAAAGCTTTTTAGGGACAGGGTGGCTCAGTAAAATTGCTGATTAGATCGGGTAGTCTCCATTTCCAAAAAGAAAATACCCTCTGGGTTATGCATATGTAAATACTTAAGTGCTCTAAACCATCTCTCCGGGTTGACTTTGTAAATAATGCAGAACACAAAACCACACACTGAGTGCTAACCCTGAGCGGTAATTAAGCATTACTGCCTTCTATTGATTATTGATTTTCGAGCTGGTTTCTCAAAAACAAAACAAAACAAAACAAAACAAAACAAAAAAACAAAAAACCACAGACACATCTTATTCATCCACTGAAACACAGCTACTACTTTTCAGAGCAGCATGTGGTGCAATTAGCAGGGAAACTTACTTGAGTTACTTACTGTGGCCACTGCTGCTTGTATGCATACAAGTTGTCCGGATCGAGAGTTTCCCAAATGAAGTGGGACTGAGCGGTCTTTAAATGGCCTTCCGTGAAGGGTGACCATATTCCCTAGAGAGATTATGACTTTTCACTCTCTGTGCTATACAGCTAAAGAAGTTCTCATGATATTTTAGAAGCTCAAAATTTGGAGCATTGTTTTACTTGTGAGAAGTAATTTGCAGCTTCAACTCATCAATACAGGGAAGTAACTTGTCATGGTGCCAGGTATATGAACACAGGTCCAAGCCGGGCGGTGGTGGCACACACCTTTAATCCCAGCACTTGGGAGGCAGAGCCAGGCAGATCTCTGTGAGTTCGAGGCCAGCCTGGGCTACCAAGTGAGTTCCAGGAGAGGGGCAAAGCTACACAGAGAAACCCTGTCTCGAAAAACCAAAAAAAAAAAAAAAAAAAAAAGAACACAGGTCTTGATGCATAGCCCTGGCCTGGCCTTGAGATGAAGTTCATTTCCTATTTCTGAGGCCAAAAGACGCAGTAGGAGTAGATGACCAGAGTCATCATTTCTCAGGAGTACTGTTAGTTTCTGGATGAAGGCACATGTGTGCTGTAATTTTACTTCTTTAGCAAGGACTTGCCTTCCCACAAACACATCAAAGCGAAGGTGACTCCTGCAGTCTAAAATGGTTAATGATAAAATCATATTCTCCATAAACTAACAAGCCAAAGAATGTCCCTAAATAAACTCCTTTGTTTGATACACAAAGCATCGGTTAGATGGACCATGCCAGGCTCCTGAGTGCCTTCCATCTCTTGTTGAAGGAAGGTATTAATTACTAATGTTATGATAGTGTGAATGACACATGGACTACCCCCCTCCCCGCCCCTGCAGGCACCAGGCTCCATTCAGCCAGTGCCAACTCCAAACACTCACCACTGTAGAAGCCCTTCGTTAAATATAAACCCAAAGAAAAATATACACATCTGGTTATAACTTAGATTGGCCACAATGATCTGTTGACTTTTCAGCAGAGTAAGGACGGACTTGGGCTTGAGACGTACAGGAGGATACCCAAGAGATGTGGATGAAAGAAGATGTAGCAATAGCAGGTGCTGACCATGAGGTTCAGATGGCAGCTGGCATCGCACAGTCCAAAACAATAATTGGGCGTGTGGGCGGAGGTGGGAAAAGTGCATTCATTCATGGGTGGGTGCGGCAGGGCAACAAGAAAGCCAGCTGGGTGACTCTGTGTTCTTAAGGATGGTGGAATGGAGCAGTGGAAAGAGCTCAGCCTGGGAGTCAGCTGGCTTTGAATCCTGATGCTGCCACTCCCCAGCTCTGTGATCTAGAACTCTGAACCCCAGTTTTCTCACAGTGGGGGGATGGGGGCACCTACTGTGGAAAGCTAGAGATCATGGACATAAAGAGGTGTAAGCTTCTAGAACATTAGTAAGCATTCCAAGGTGAGGAGAAAACTGGCAGGATTTGGGGAAAGAGGCAAATAGGACGCAATTAGTGGCCGGGCCGGGCACAATCACTGCATTCTAGTGGGAATTCTAGGTGCTGTGGTTCTGGGAGGAGGACAAGACTCAGCCATCGGGTGAGAAACGTTCAATGCTGAGGTTGGAGAGAAAGCAACAGAGGATCTGAAGCTGATCAAACAGTTTCTAACTCGTCAGGGGGAGTTCAGGAAGAGGGGGAATAGATTCTACACAGGAGACCTGGTCACAGGAGAGAAGAAGGGGATGCTGAAGGAAAGGAAGGACTGAGAGAGTCCAGCTCACTGGTGGCTGAAGGAGCAGGAGGACTCTCACAGGGTAGTGACTGGGCCTCACTTGGTTATCACAGAACAG